CGGCAGCGGGGGGAGCATCGTCCTCTGCTGCTGGGCTGCGCTCATCGCCGTGCACGGGCAGATCAGCACCGGGGACAGAGGGACGCTCAGTAGGGTGATGACCGGTGGCCTTTGTGGTGTTTTCTCACCCGGCTCCAGGTCTCACCCCCCAATACCCCATTGCTGAACCTCCTGGAGGCCACACCACACGAGTCACTGCATCACCAGGAGCATCATCACCGCCATCACCATCACCACCACTGCCACCACCACCAATGCCACTCATCTCCCGGGGACAGAGGGACGCTCAGTAGGGTGATGACCGGTGGCCTTTGTGGTGTTTTCTCACCCGGCTCCAGGTCTCACCCCCCAATACCCCATTGCTGAACCTCCTGGAGGCCACACCACACGAGTCACTGCATCACCAGGAGCATCATCACCGCCATCACCATCACCACCACTGCCACCACCACCAATGCCACTCATCTCCACAGCACACAGGGGGGCCTGCTCGTGGGGCAGGAGCTCCCCATGCCCACCCCTCACCAGCACACAGCCAGGCCTCCTGCCCCAGCCCGGGGCTGGGCTGCTGCAAACCCCCCAGGCACGATGTGCCCAACCCACCACACATGTCCCTGTACCCCCCCGAGAGCCACCACCAAAACCAGTCCCCTCCCTGCAGCTTCCTGGGCTGGAGCCCACCCCCCTGCAAACCCACAGCCACTCACTTGGCTTGCTGGGCAGCGACTCCTCTGGCTTTTCCGAAGCTGCTTCTCCCTCGTCGGGGATTTTGTTGGGGTAGTTACTGGACACGTACAGTTTGTTTATGTCCAGAGTGGTCTTGCTGAAGGGAGCCATGGAGGAGTACATGCTGGCGTAGCCGTTGGAGGAGCAGCTCAGAGCAGCCAGGTCCAGCGCCTTCCCTCCTGTGATGATGGGGATGTTGAGGGAGAGCTTCCTCCGCCGGCTGGGGGATGAGGACTTGGTGATGGAGAGGGGGGGAGGCGAGGAGAACTTGCGGTTGGCTCTGGGGGACTTGGGGGGCTCCCCGTACAACAGCTTGTTGTTCTGGCTGTTTGCAAACAGGAGCTCCAGGGACCTGGGTGGAGAGACAGGGAGAGGCTGAACTCGCACCTACCCTTCCCGAGAGGTGGTGGAGATCCCACCAGCAGCTCCAGGTTTGCAGAACATCCCCTGGGCAGAGCAGAGCCAGGGCACCTGCACCCCACCGCACAGGCCCCCCAGGAGCAGGGGCACCCGCAGAGCTCGGCTTTATCTGCTTCCCTGATCTGTGGGTACCACAACTCATGGGCACCTCGAGATTCCACACCTCGAGTGCTGGGTTCAGAGTTGGGCCCCTGACTCCAAGAAGGACATGGAGGTGCTGGAGCGTGTCCAGAGAAGGGAACGGAGCTGGGGAAGGGTCTGGAGCACAAGTGTGCTGAGTTCCCTTGTGGCTGAGGGAACTGGGGGTGTTGAGCCTGGAGAAAAGGAGGCTGAGGGGAGACCTTGTGGCTCTGTGCAAGTCCCTTGGAGGAGGGTGGAGAGAGGTGGGGGTGGGTCTGTTCAACCAAGGACCAAGGGACAGGACAAGAGGAAATGGGCTCCAGTTGTGGCCAGGGCAGTTGAGATGGGATGTGAGGAAGAATTTCTTTGCTGCAAGGGTTCTGAGGCATTGGAAGGGGTTGCCCAGGGCAGTGGTGGAGTCCCCATCCCTGGAGGGATTGAAGAGTCGTGTAGACACAGTGCTGAGGGACATGGGTTAGTCATAGGGGACTGGTCAGTGTTGGGTTCATGGTTGGACTCGATGAGCTTCAAGGGCTTTTCCCATCCAGGCCATGCTGGGATTCCGTGGTTCTGTGACCTGGTGGAACAGCCCTGGAGCAGCACCAGGGCCAGGCAGGTCAGAAGAGGGGACAGCGATGTGATGCCACAGCCCCCCCATAAACTCTGCTGGTCGTTCAGGAGCAGGACAGGTCACCCCACGGGCAGTTCAGCGACGCCGCACGCAGCCTCACCGTGCGGGGATGGCACTGATCGGCTTCTTGTAGATCGTGATGAGCTTGTCGAGGACAACCAGGGCGGTGGTGAAGACGCGGTACGAGTGCAGGAACGTGTTCAGAAAGTCAATGCTCAGGAACCGCAGGTCCGTCAGCCTCTCCAGGAGCCGTTCCACGCTTGCATAGCGGATCTGCAGGACCTTGCAGGAATTCATCGTTTTACTGAACCTAATGTCAACATCATCACAATACAAGCTGGCATCAGACCTGCAGAGAAACAAGAGATCTGTGGTTCCAGCCTGGGACGAAACCAAGAGCTGCTTCACGTAAGCAGCTTCCCCCTGAGATGTGCGGGGACCACGGCAAGTGGCGCGGGTGCTCGGCAGCGAAGGAGCCTCGTTCATACAGGGTGTCCCTACATAAATCCCAGGTGGGAATACTCCTGGGGAAGGGTAGGAAATCCACAGCCCAGATCAGGCAGGAGCACTGTGTGGTGCTCAACAGGCAGAGCTTTGCAAAAACCATGGAAGGAGTGTCCCTGAGGGACACCACAAACCAAGACCCCTCCCCGTGTGTGACAGCAGCGCCACAGCAGTGTGGGTGACATGGTGGGGACACCCTCACAGTGCCCTGTCCCACTGGCCTGAGCTCTCCCCTTCACCTTTCCCACCTCCCCAAGCACAGTCCCACACAAATCTCCTCTCCTAATTAGCACTCCTAATTAGCACTCCCAATCACCACGCTGCGAACCACCCAGCCGTGTCTGAGCACACGGGAAAGCCACCCGGCTCCTGGCGCTTTCGGCAGCGCTTTCGGCAGCATCCGATGCCACCGGAGCTGTGCCGTGGGGCTGGGCAGAGCCCGGTGCTCTCCGCAGTGCCTGGCTGTGGCAGCACTCACTTGATCATCTGGGGGACGGTGACCTTGGAGTTCTCCTCGAAGGCGTTCATCATCAGGCCGTTGCAGCGGATGTTGTCCACGCACTGGAAGAGACAAGGGTGAGAGGTGGCAGAAGGCGGCGGCGGCGAGGACGGCCCTGCTGCCCATCCAGCTTGGACATGCCATGGGAGAGCCCCAGCTTGGTCTTCTCCAGTCAAGGTGGATCTGTGCAAGCTGCCTCTGCCACGTGTGAGGGGAGACCAGGGCTGGGAGCACACAGCCAGGAAGGGCAAGAGCTTCTGCCTGAAAACAGGAGCTTCAGGATCATGTTCCTGCATCCCTGTCCTGGGGGAGCATCACCTGGAGCTTCTCCTCAGCTCTCCCACTACGGACCTGGCCCAGGTTCAGGGTGCACTGGCAGACACAGAGGCATGGCCAGAGCTGCCAGAACCCACCTCACCCTGTGCCGCCCTAATTAAACCCCCTCCCAGCCGGCGCTGCCGGATGCTGTCGGAGGGAGACACAGCAGAGCAGCACCGGTCACCCCACTGCTGGCTCACCAACGAGGGCTGTGCAGGGCAGGAGCGTGGGCTGGGGACCTCGTGTGGGCTGGGGACCCCACAGAGGAGAACTAGCCCTGGCCCCTGTGTGGAGCAGGACCAGGAGCTGCCACCCCCCTGCATGGGGCTGAGCCCAGGTCCTGCCCACGGCTCTGCTTGGGGACCAGTGCTCGGCAAGGGAATGCAGACGAGGACACAGTACAACGGAGGTGGCCAGGAGGGAATCCCTATTTCACCCGTAACTTTTTCTCTTCCTCCCACCTGGGAAAAAAAAAAATCTTCAGAGTCATTTGCAGTGAGCAGATGAAGAGCAGGTGTAAATCATCACCACGTGCCTGAGTCAGAGGAGAAATCCAGACCACGTACCTGCGCGTGCAGGTAGAGCACAGACAGGACAGACCCTGGATGAGCTTTAAGGTCCCTCCCAACCCAAACCAGTCTGGGATTCTGGGATTTATGATCCTGGGTGCCCAGAGCTGCTGCCACACCTTGGGGACATCCAAGCAGGGACCCCGCGGGGGCTGCTCGTCCCCAGGGACCCGGTGCCCCGACACCTCCCTGCCAGGCCCATCCTACCTGGCTGATGTCACTGGTCCATGCAGCCTTCTCCTGCCTGGACGAGGCCACCAGGATAACCGTAAACGATGAGGAATCTTTGGGCTCCACCACGATTTTGAAGTCAAGGTGGTCGATGTCTTGCCCCGATGCTTTTGCTTTGGGATAGAAAATCCACACACAGTGACCAGGAAGAGCTTCCCCCAGCACCCCCAGCACGGGCTTTATCAGGTTTTAGGGAGTTTGGTGAATTTTGCGGGTGGTCTGCGGTGAGGATGCCACGGGTTTGCTGGGCAAAGGCTCCAGGTTTGCAAATAAAGCCTGTGCACCACAAGCACAGCACAGCCTCGCTGCAATGTCCACCCATGAGGACACCACGTCCGTCACAGGGGACACCAGCGCTGCTGGCCACGCTGCCATCAGTCCCCAGCCACGGTACAGAGCAGCTGGGAAGCACTGGGAAAACACGGCCAGGGCTGGCAGTGACCTCATGCCACGGCTCTGGCGTTAAGTGCAGCGGGACCTGCCCCCCTGGGACCTCCACAGCACCCCTGGGTGGGGGTTTTGCCCCCCCTGCAATGGGGTGACCCCGCTGCAAAACCCAAAACTGGCTGCAGTGCAGAGCAGGAGACAATCGGCCACGCTGGTGGGGCTGGCAACCTCAGCAGAGGGTCCTGCTGTTTGAGATGCCCCCATCTGCTCAGCACCCACTGGGAGATGCACAAGCCAAGAAGCCAACCCCCAACCCTGCACCCATGGGTGGGACGGGGTCACCTACCCTCCTCGTCGGTGCTCTCCTGCTCCTCCACCAGCGTGCAGTCGATGAGGGAGATCACGCCATTCTGCAGGGCAGGAGTTGGGGATCAGCACAGAATCCAGCACAGAATGGTGGGGTTGGAAGGGACCTCAGGAGACCACCCAGTCCCACCCCCCTGCCAAAGCAGGTTCCCCACAGCAGGTTGCACAGGAAAGTGTCCAGGTGGGTTTGAACATCTCCAGAGATGGAGACTCAGCAGCAGGATCCAACCTCCCCGGGGTCCCACTGCCCAGGGACAGGGATGGGGACGGGGACACGCTGCTGCAGGTGCCCACCCTGCCACAGCCAGGGCAGCGTCTGCTTCCACTGGGAAAAACCAGTTCCTGGCTGCTGGGATAACACGGTTTTCCTTGTGCGACCCATGAACTCATTTGTTTATAAATTATTTAATAGAAGCTTTAAATGAAAGTTTTCAAAAGTCTGTTGTTGTCATTGTCAACTCGTTGCCACGGACTGTAATTTTTCAACCTGATGATTTAAAGCCAGTAATGAGCCAATTCTGTAAGATTCTTGCTCAATTAACTGCAAAACTTCCACCAACAGGAGCGGGAGTCTCGGGAGCGGAGCGGAGGGGACTGGGAGGGCTCTGCACAAACCCAGGCTGGCAGCTGAGCTTCTCACTGAACACACTGTCGAGGTTTCTGCTGCGAATCGGGGCAGCTTCTTTTCTCATGAAAAATTCTTTTAGCAAGAACTTGCAATTCCCCATCCTTGCCCACGACCCAGAGCTCCGCACGTGACAAGGTGTCTGGACCACGCAAGGTAAATCCTCCGCTCGCCCGGCTGCTCCCAGCCCTGCACCCTGGGAGGCTGCAGCCAGGGGAGGACAAGGTGGTCCCAGGACCCCTAGTGTCCCCAGGAGAGCCCAGCCAGCTCAGGCTCTGCCCCCTCCCCATGCACAAGCCCGTGCCCCAGCACCGGTTCCAAGCCCAGCAGCCACCGGACCCTTCGCTGGGGACCGCAGACCCCCAGCTCCAGACCTTGGTGAGGTGCAGCTTGCCGCCGGAGCCCCTGGTGCAGATGATGAGGTGCTTGGAGAAGAGGAAGCACTGCCGCTCGCCCTCCTTCCTCAGCGAGAGGGAGCCCAGCCGTCCCCGCGTGATCTTCCCTTTCTCCGACATCGGCACTTGGATGAGGGACCCTGCGGAGGGGACAGACCCGGCCCGGTGGCAGCGCTGGTGGCAGCGTGGCAGGCGG